GAGAATTCAATGACAACAGGAATTCCAGATTTAGTCTGCAATGAAGGAAACTATTCAGTGCAAATCAGCTCAATTGATACAGCAGAGCTGTGAAAACAGCATGGCTTTGAGGCAGCCCTGGGGCCAGGCCCCTCTCTGCTAGACAGCTCTGCTCTGCTCTCCTCTCCTCCTCAGTCCTGTGCTCTGCTCTGGTCTGCTCCTTGTGGGTCTGCTTTCGGCTGGGCTACTCTGCTTTGCTCCACTCTGGTCTGCTCCATTCTGTTCAGTCTGCTTTTGTCCATGCTGGTCTGCTGTGCTCCGCCCCAATGAGACATCTTTGGTGTTCAGCTCAGTGTGGGAAACATAGTCCTGTCTTCAGTGGAAAGGCAAATTGCACTCCCCCAGTCAGAGAGGAGCTGGCTTATGTAGACAGAAGTCCCCAACCCTGGCCCCTGATTGATCCATCCTCATGCAAATGAGGACACCATATGCTTACAGTTTGCTTGGTCCAAAAGGCATTGCACTGATTGGTCCGTGAAGATGTTGATGGGGATATAGTTGTGCAGCTCCTGTTGGATGGAGGAAGCCTCAATCCTATTGGATAAAATAGGATTCCAGGAACTCCTTTAGAAGGGCTGGCTCAGATGGCAGAAACACAGTGTAAGCAGGTAGTTCAGTGCAAGCTTCTCCCGTAAGTGAAGTTTTATAAAGAGGGAATATGCTAATTGACCCTCAGGCCATCGCAAATATGGCGAAGTCCACAGCCAATAAGGAGGGAATATGCTAATTTACTATCACCCTCAAAGATGTTGGAGCCCACAGAAATAAGGCAATATGCTAATTGAGTGCCATGCCCTCAAAGATGGCGGTGCCCACAGCCAATAAGGATGGAATATGCTAATTGATTGTAATACCCTCAAAGATGGCAGCACCCAGTCCCCTCAGCCCCGCATGAGCACCTGCCTCCAGAGTCCCCCCATCCCCTCAGCCACCCAGCCACCCAGGGCTGCCCAAGGCTCAGGTAACTAGAGCTGGCTGAGGCTTGTGCTGCCACCAGTGGCAACTGCAGAGGTGATGGGGCGTCGCCTTCCCCTGTTCACCGGGTCACCTACCGACCCTGAGGGCTCCCAGACTGTGAGAGGGCGCAGGCTGGACTGAGGAATCCCCTTCCAGTGCATGAATTTTCATACACAGGGCCTTTAGTTTTATTATAATATCTCAAATCTGGGATTCCTTTTTTTAAAAATATATTTTATTGATTTTTTTACAGAGAGAGATGGGAGAGAGACAGATAGCTAGAAACATCGATGAGAGAGAAACATCGATCAGCTGCCTCCTGCACATCTCCTACTGGGGATGTGCCCACAACCCAGGTACATGCCCTTGACCGGAATTGAACCTGGGACCTTTCAGTCCGCAGGCCGACGCTCTATCCACTGAGCCAAAAAGGTTTCGGTGAATTCCTTTTTTGAATGGTACTTTACTTCTGTACTGTAAGACTTTCTCTCTACCCGCTTCTCATTTTTTACCTTATGTCTTCATACTCACAAACAAAGTGAAAATACAAGTGATTATTCAATCTATGTAAATCACTAAATGGATCAATGTATGATTAAAAGCAATCTACCACATATACCAGGGCAGGTTTTAAAATGCTTTTAGTTTTTAAAAGGCTGAACTGCATAAATAATTATTTAGCTGCCAGTTATTTAAATTTTGTTAGGGAAGAACACAGAATGTCCCAAAAAATGTATACACACTTTGGATAATTATTCATTCCAATGGGGTAAATCTGAAAAAGAAAGAAACATCAATTGAGCTATCAGCCGTTAAAGTGTGTATGCATTTCTTGGATATCCTATAAATTCGCAATAATGGTAATATGGTTGATTATTAAAACTTTCATTCATGTTTGCTACCTGAATATATTACAGCTACGATGGGACCAACATAATGTTGATTTAATTCCAAATGGGATTTCTATACTTGTGGATCAAACCAACAAGTAAGTTTTGAGAACTAGAACATATACTTTGAATACACATAAAATGTTTATGTCACTTTACTTTGTAAATGTATTTTAGCTTCTCAGATGATCATTTTAGTTCCTCATCTTTTAGAAAGACAAAACAGTTACAGGGTAAGAGAAGAGGAGAAAGGAGTCAGATTTAAATATTTCCTTTGTAGCACTTTTCACTAGTTATTCATTTAACAATTATTTTCAGCCCCTACTATGTACTAGACCCTATTCTAGGTGATGGAGATATAGCAGTGAAAAAGACAGACAAAATATAGAGCTTAAATTCCAGTAGGCCCGAAAGATAATATAAGAATAGATTACTATGTAATAGAATGTTGGAAAAGTACTCTGAAGAAAATTAAATCCAATTAAGAGACCAGAGTTATACGTTTGAGGTATGCTAGAGGCAGCTGGTACCAGCTTGTGAGAGCCGATTTGATTGTTCACAAATGTTCACAGTTTATTATTAAAGTGTTTGTAGCTTGAAATCAGGCATAGTGGGAATATTTACACCACAGAAATTGGCGAATGCTACCAATGAGCATTTCCTTTTTCTCTTTTCCTTCGGATAACTGATTTTTAAACGTTTACCAGCATGCCACTGGTTACCGGGGAGGGCAGAGAGGGATTGATATAGATAGGATAGTCCAGGAAGGATGCTAGAGGGGAGGGAGACTATCATGTTTCTGGTGGAAATACCCCTAGTAGCAAGCCTGCCATCAGGAAATTCTTCAGGTAGTGGAGAGGACAGACTGCATAGTGGAAGTTTTTAAGCAGGAGAATGGAATGTTTTAGTGTTTTTAAGATACGATCCTGTCTGCAGCTAGGAAACTGGAAGTAAAACAAAGCCTTATTCCTTCTGCTCTATGCTCCAAGGTCCTTCCTTCTTAGCTGATCAGATGTTTTTATATCTTAGAGTAGTACTGGGTTGTGTGCTCAGCAGAAGGAATTGACTTTTCTTTCTTAATAGAAATGGTAAAAAGGGCAAAATCAAGAATATTTTAGGCACTGATAAAGTATGTTATTGGACTTTTATTTTTTCGTTTCCTTCAAGGACCGACTATGTTTCTCAGTGTGTTGATTACATTTTCAACACTTCTGTAAAGGCAGTTTATGAGGAATTTCAGAGTGGATTTTATACAGTCTGTGACAAAGAGATACTTAGACTTTTCCACCCTGAAGAACTAAGGACAGCAATAATTGGAAATACTGATTATGACTGGAAACAATTTGAAAAGGTAGGTAATAACTAATGCCCCCAATTCTTCTGAAATACATTTATATGTTCCCCCCTAAAACCCAGTTCCTCCTCCTTTTTCTCAAGAATTCAGTATATGAGCCAGAATACCATGAATCACATCCTACTATACAGATGTTTTGGAAAGCTTTCCACGGATTAACTTTGGATGAAAAGAGACAATTCCTCTGTAAGTATTATATTACAGTAATAAAAGGATCTATAAGTATATATCTTTTAAAAAGATAAATATCTTATTTGTGGTGGATCAAGAGTGTTAATGGCAACACAGGGGTTATAACCCACGTTCCCTTCTGAACCAATGGTTTTTCTCTTACATAAGCCTGTTCACCATTTTAAAAATTGTAATAAAGATATCACTGTTTTACTACCTTCTCTACACTGACTCTAATCCCACCTCCAATTTTAGTTTGCATCCACTTTCCTCATTCTAGTTGGCTCCTTATCAAGCCTTTTTATGTTACCTTCAGTTATTAATTATGTCCTATGGATTTAGGACAATGTAAACTGCCTCTAATATTATTTTAGAAATAATAATAGTAGCAATGACCACTGATGATAATAACAGCATTTATTGTGTGCTTATTCTATGCCAGCCATAGTACTGGTAACGTTGTAGCTATTAACACCCTTTGTCCCAATAGCAACCTTATGAGGTAGGTACTTATTTTCTCCATCTGAGGAAAGA